CATGTGCAGGTGACGACCCTCCCGCTTTAAGAAAACATAGTTTGATACATGTATTTGTAATGAAATAGCAGAAAAGCAATCAGGTTTCAGAAAACCGCATAGAACTGTCGATAACATTTTTATTTTGCGTCCCATTATCAACAAATAGCCCCCCCCTTCTCTACCCAAAGGGAACAGTACTGAGTTCATCGATTTCGAAACCGCTTTCGACAGAGTAGATCATTATGAACCAAGCGATACAAGCGATTGCTAATCAAACTAGTAAAATATTTTTGTAGTTTAAAGAGGAGGGGTCGTCACCTGCGCACGCTCGAGAATTGAGTCCCAAGCGATAACAATGCATGCTAAAAACGCAAAGGCTCATGGGTAGATGCTTGTTTGTAAACAATGACAAGCTATGACCGTCAGACGCGCTTTATAAAATAATGTATTGTCTCCCATTTCTTTAGATTGTCGATGAAGAAGGAAACGCGCTTATAGGAGAAACCGCGATAGAACAGCACATTTATATAATTCCTGCGTTTACCGTTCAAATTTGGGATGCGAGCTATCTCGTTAGATCCGATGACCAAACGGCGAAGGAGATTGTACTGAAGGTCCGTTTTAACAAGCCAGTAGTCAACGCTGAACGAGAGTTACCAGACGTGTACGACTTCGACGTTTCGGATATAAAGAACGAAACCGTTGATGTGTCTGCCATATTGAAGGTGGAACCTGTCAACCACGGACGTATCTGCCCCAAACACATTGCTTGTCACACTGAATTCTACGTGCGATTAGCCGCCGCGTCCATAAGCGATGCCCGTCAGTTTTATTTTGACATCATTCCAGGACGGCTGAAGTCTGCAAGAGACTTCTTATTCGTGAATTCCAAGCCAACTTTAATTGATTTTAATACTGTCTATGAGAACTAAACTGAGTTATTGTTATATAATTGGCGATATCCGATTTATTGCAGTTTTGTTTTAATCTCATGTCTGTCATGGTATACAGGCCATGTATGCTACTGTAGAATACTTTATTCTTAGCTTTTATTTTTGCTGAAAAGATATTTTGGCTGTTTTGTATAAAGTTTTTATTTTCAAGTTGAATGTAAAAAATAGGAAAATAGTTATTTTCACTAGATTTAATTTCCACCGATTCATCCTTTTAGCGGAAATAGCGAAAATAAAATACTAGTGAATATAAATTACTT